TATACCATAAACATTATGTTTTTCATAATCAGATGTATCATATTCATCAATATTTGCTTTCATATCTTCATATAAATCTAATGTTTTAATTTCACATACTAATGAATCAGTATCACCATATAATAATTTAATGTTATCTCCATATCTTTCTTTCAGTTTATAAAAATAATCATACATTAAATTCTTTGAAATCTCCAAAATACATACACCTATAAAGATAGGTTGGTTAAAATTAATCTCTGTTCTATTCATTTCAACAGCAGACAAATTTTTACCGAAAAATGTAGATTTTTTAAAATTAGGTTTAGAAACATATTTTGTATATTTATCACCTTCAGATATTAATCTTATATCCACATGTTTTCTTACATTCATCATTGTTCTTCCAAAAACAGAATTATTCATTAATTTATAAAACTCTTTCTCAAAATTATTTTTTGCTTTCTTTCTTAAATTTGTATTTTTTTCAATATATACTCGCATCCAATCAGACTGATGAAAACTAATAACTTTATGAATTTTTCCTAATTTTAAACCCGCCTTCAAAGCTTGCTGTAAATTTAAATAATGACAAACATAATTCTTTTTATCATAATATAGTGTAGTTAATAATTTTGGTAACTTTTCACCATCAAATATGTTTTCTGGACAATATGGTAGATCATTATGTTTCTTATGAAGTTCTTCTGGATAAATTAAATCTACTTCAAAAAGGTAACCTGTTCCCTGTTTTTCCTTCATTTCTAAAATCCTATCCTCATCAAAAAAATTTGGATTTTCCCATTTAAAACCACGTTTTGGTAAATATTTTGACATAGCATACCCATATAAGTTATTTGCGTCTAAATACTGTATATATACTGAATCTTTATTTTTATCAAATTTTTTACCCATATATTTATTATTTGCTTCACTATATCTATTTGAACACTGGGATAAACCACCCCGTTTAGCCCTTTCAAACATTAAAAGCATATCTACATCAGTAATTAATTCAATTTTTTGTTTTGTAGTTTTTAACATACAACTCCAAGCAAATCCGGGTGTAGTATAATACCAAGCTGGATCTAATCCATATGTATTTAACGAAGTCTCTCTAAAATATTCCATAACATCAGCTAATAAAAGTACATCTATAGTGTTGTATAACATATTAAATTCTTGCATATTTTTTATGTTGAAATACTTCCAAATTTCTTCAGCATAATGATATTCTCCATCGGTAATATTTTCACTGTTTAATGAATTATAAAAAGACTCTTTGGGAGGTAATTTTGTCTCTTTATATTTATCTAATGAAGACATATAATCGTATGGAAAAGCTAATTTTTTTGTTAATAATCTAAATAAATACTTTCTTTCCAATTCACTTAAATTATCAGGAACAGTTTTTTCAAACCATTTTTTTAAAACATTAAAATTACATAAATTCATATTATCAGCTAACTTAGACAAAGAACTAGGTTGGAACCTATAAGAATCTAGGAACCTAAGTTCAATATCAGAATATTGAGAATACCTTATTCTCTTAGAAAATGAAATATATTTTTCCTCGCTTGTGGGAATAAGATCTATATCACCGGTATCCAATCCTAATTCTTTAACTAATAAATGTGAATCATAACCTGAAAAATTATGAAAGAAAACAGGAATAAATCCTGGAACTTCAAAAGTTAAATTACAATATTTATGGGCAGGTCCCCTATATAGACCTGTTAAATGATCATGATCTCGAACTTTATAAAGTTTCTCTTTTATATAATCAACTATATTAATATCTTTCCATTTAAAGTCACTTGAAATATGGGCAGGTACGCTAGTTAATTTTTCTTCACAAATATGACAAATTGTTGCATTTTCATACTCTTTTTTCTCTATCTCGGTTAACTCATTCATTTTCTTAACATTATTTAAATAATTTTCAGCTATATATATAGCATCTTCTCTTAATTTTTTATATAATGCTTTTGGAGCATCTTCACCAAAATATTCAAAAGTTTTTCTTTCAAAATCACCATGGGCATATACAATAATATAAACAAAACTTATTGCAATATGTTTCTGAATTTTAACTGTACTACAATTTTTCTTTCTTTCATTTATCTGTTTTATAACACTTTCAAAATCTGCATAAATAACAAAAGGCACTTTCATTTTATGATTAAAATTTTTAAATTGAATAAGATTATTATATTCATTCGGCATTTTCAACCGTGATGTCTTATTTAATGCACAGTAACTCCTATGATTTAACAATTTTTCTTCAGTTTGAAAACTATTTAAACACATTCTGCAAAGATATCTCTTTTTACAATTTTTTGTAATTTGACCCTTAACCTAACCCCCATCAATTTTTTATTAAACAATAATGTGTATTATCACCGTCTTTCAAAAGTAATAAATCAATATGTACTTTTTTCTCATCTTTCGTTACATATAAGGGGTTTATATTATATTTCTCAACATGATGATAAACATTAATAGATAATCCACCTTCAATCAAATTTGTTTTATTAACACTGTTTAAAAAACTAGGAATCTTACTAACTTCCATTGGATACTCAATATCTATAAACATATAATTAAACAAATTTTCATATTTCTTATATTTTGTTACTCTTTGCGGATTCTCAACAACTGGATATAAATGAGCCAAAATTGACCATAAAAAACATTTATCATCATCTTCATTTTTTACATTTATAACTGCTTTTCTGTTAGCTATTTTTACTGGAGTTGGTATATAAGAGCTACCCTTTATGGGAGCATATTTATTTATGGCTACATTGAGAGTGTTAATTGAAATTAACACCCATTGCGATCCTCTTAAACTATCTGAAACACGTTCATGTTCATATAATATTTTAGCTTTCATTTCTTTATATATTTCATCTAAATTTGACTCTGGAAAAATATCATAATTCGGTGTTTGCAAATATTTAACTGCTGATTCTACAACATCTATAATACCACCTTTTTCATAAGTACAAATAACACATAAATGAGCTTTTACAGACTTATGTTTAAATAACCATTTCTTAATAAGACCAAAAACAGATTTCTTTGTACTATCTATAAAATCAGGTATATTTTTAATTCCAGTTTTATTACCAATTTCAAATTGAGTATGTCTACTTTTAAAATTTTCTTCGTAAAATGTAGGCTTATAAATAGATTGTTCCTTACTGGGTTGCTCTATTATATCTTCATGAAATTTAAATGGAAATCCTGTTAACCAATAATTTTTTTCTTCGTCAGTTAATTTAAAAATAATCTCTAATCTACTGTCATTATATGATGAATGCTTTATTTTTCCAATTAAAATACTATACAATCCTTCCAAATTCTGAGTAGCAATTTTCTTTCCATATTGTATGCAAAATGTATAGTTTCTTAAAAAATATTCTATCTGTTTATCATTTTTATTTAAATATTTATTATGTGCTTGAAAAAACTTAAACCATTTTGAAACATCTATGTCTTTATTTTTTTTCTCAGTTTTTATAAATCTTATTGAAACCTGATTATCCATTTATTAATAAAGTTTTGACAAAGTTATTTTTTTAAATAGACATTTTTGTTTTTATTTAATAAGTAAATTTTTTAATAACAAAAATTATTCTTGAGGAGTGTTCTCTTTACTCATATTATCCATCCTTTTTGAGTGAGATTTAGTTAACAAATGCCTCTTATGGGCTCTTAAATGCATTACTTGACCACATTCACATGCTACCAATTCACTGCTAACTTTGGTTTTCATACAACTTTTACACCATTTTTGATTTTTACTAAATTCATTAACACTCTTGAATGTTTCACATTTTGAGCATAAATATACATCTCCTGCTTTCAAAGACTGCAATAATACCTCATCTTTATTTATCAACTCATAGATACGGATAATTTTATTATTTCGATTCATTTTTATATTTATTTATATACAAAATTTTTTAATTACATCATGCTACTAATTATGTTTTTGAGTTTATGTTTGATAGCTAGTTTTTCAATATCTATAAAAAATTACCATTTCAATTCAATACAACATCGGCAACATTACAATCTGATACAACATCGGCAACATTTCAATCCAATACAACATCGGCAACAATTCAACCCAATACAACATCGGCAACATTTCAATCCAATACAACATCTCAAAACTTAGATTAAATACCTATTGCTATTCGAAATTTTCTGTAAATAAAAGTGAATTGACGCTTAGTACAGAGAAAACTAGATAGAAACAGGTATACATGATAGCCAAGTGGTTTCTTTGCTATTTATTTGCAGTATATAAGCACTATATAAGTGTTTCGGTCTTGAGATCCTTTATGCCGAGCTGTAGGTGTTGATAAGCTGTTAATGTACTAGTTTACACTTGTCCACGGAATTTTTACATCAATTCAATTATTAAATTAAATCAATGAAATAATACTATTAGATTAAATTAATGAAATAATATTATTAAATCAAACCAATGAAATAAATTATGGCTGTAAAAATTGTATGGACAGGTGTTAACTTGTGTTAAAAGTGTTAGCCGTTTATAGGCATACTGCATTAACAATGTTAGCCGTTTATAGACATATACTGCGAGTGACAAAAATTCCCGATAGTCTCCTACTATCGTTTTTTAAAACGTATTGGAATAATTGTCATAATATATATATTATATTATATTTCCTATAACGATAAGCAAATATATGGCGGAAGCTGCTTGGCTGTTGTGTCTAAATATTTGTAATGTTTAAAACATGTATAAATTGTTTTAAATAATGTTCTTGGCATATTTCTAAATTCTGTATTTTTTTTAAAAATGTATGTAATTTCATTTAAAATATGTGAAATATCATTGTATTTGTATATAAATTGTATACAAAAAGTAGAATAAATCCGATGTAAAAATATCAAATTTCGATGTAAAAAAGTTGAAATAAGCTAATTTTAAGGTGATTTTTTGAATGTTAAAAAAACTGATTGTGCCAGAACATACACTATTATACTACTAACCAATTATAAACTTCCCTACAGAGGTAATCAATTGAACTTGGAAACTTTTCAGACGCTTTGGATACAGCATTGTTTAAAGAATGGCAAATACATCCCACAATTTGTAATTTGGGACTTATCTGTTTTAAACGAGTGAAAAGCGAATTATATTTTCCACATAAATTGTTGGCCCCATCTGTGCCTATACCAATTAAATTTTTTAAATCTAAGCCTATATCTTGCATATAATCATAAATATAACTATATAGTGAGTCTGCTGTACAACTAATAACTTCAATTATACCCAAGAACTGTAAATTTACAGATTCGTCCTTAAAACTAAAATATTTAATACATATACATAAGTATTCAAATACTGAAACATCAGTAGATTCATCTACAATTATTGAGAAACAGCTTGTACCAATATCTTTAACAAGGTCTTCAAGTAATGATGGTTCTAATACATATTTAATTAACGAAGAACATTTTGTCCTTAGATTTGCAAAAGGTGTGTTTTTTCCAGTTAATTTAAGTATTTCGCCTAGATGATCTACACTCATAATAGAGGAGTGAGTAGCAATATACACGGCTAATTTTAAATCAATAGTTTTTTTGCTCATTTGTTAAAATAACTACATTACTTAACACAGATTGTTTATTGATCGATGGATTTAATTTGATGATGTTGTCAGAATGTGTTTTAGTTTTTGTGTGCCTTTTCAAGTCCGTCAAATGTGCTCTCAAATATGTCTGGCAAACTTTACAGTATGCTTCAGCATTTACATCTGCTTGTGTTAACCAACCTATACATTTTTTACAACATTAGAAAACATTGTAGTCATAGTCAAGTGATTCATATTTATTTTTATTTATAAATAAATACACACCTTTTGCTCAAATCTCGGTTTCCCATGATTTGCGATATTTTCTAAGCTTTTCCGTTTTCCCCAAGGTTTGCGGCGCCACCGAACAAATTTTAGATTTAACGACAATTTCAATTTATTAGAATTTAAGACATAATCTATAAATCTTTCTATGAACTAAGATATCATATCCCCATGGATATATTAAAATATAGTTTCCCACCAATCGACCTGTTTGTAATCATTGAATCGTAGAAATGAAAATCAGGGTTGCCACAGATCCTCAATTAAAAAATTCCCTGACTTTTCCAGGTTTTCCAGGCATTGTTATAAATTTTCCAGAATTAATTATTAATTAAGTTTATATAAATTAACTTTCACTGCCTAGACAAAAAATATCTCAAATCAGTTCATTAGAATATGCCCAAAATATTTTTTTAATACTTCACAACATATTATATTTTTTTTAACATTATAAATTTGTTAATAAGTAGCAACTTTCAAATTTGCAATAATAGTAAGAGTAGCATTTTTAAATCTTACCCCAATACATAAATTAAGTACTTAATAGGTTAAATTATTGTGATCAAACATGTACAACACTTCATATTAGGAATAAAAATATACATTGGTAAAATATAACACACAAGTACATAACTATTAAGAATAGGTTTTAGTTTAAAACCGTTTTTTATATGTATTGCATCTCTTTTATTAATTAGTTAATAAATGTTATAACAAACTCAACAACTTTAATAATTAATTAAAATAATATAGATAATAATAATCAAACATCAAACTCTAAATATTTGTAATGTTTAAAACTTGTATAAATTGTTTTAAATAATGTTCTTGGCATATTTCTAAATTCTGTATTTTTTTTAAAAATGTATGTAATTTCATTTAAAATATGTGAAATATCATTGTATTTGTATATAAATTGTATACAAAAAGTAGAATAAATCCGATGTAAAAAAGTTGAAATAAGCTAATTTTAAGGTGATTTTTTGAATGTTAAAAAAACTGATTGTGCCAGAACATACACTATTATACTACTTTGGTTTCACATAAGCCCCAAAAGAAGAGATGAGTACAAAAAAATATTTGATCTTTTAAATTCAGGTTCTGGAAAAAAAAAAATTCACAAGTTTCACCAATTATCTGGTACACGTTGGCTAGCACGCTCATTCGTTGTTAACTCAATTTTGGAACATTGGTTAGAATTAAAAACTCATTTCTCTCTAATCATTAAAAAAGAAAAATGTTATGCTGCTAGAATTATTCATGAAATGTTACAGGACGACACAAACTATCTATATTTGATAATCATTAAAACTATTTTGCATGAGCTAAATTGTTTAAATTTAACTTTTCAGGCACATTTTGTAGACCTTGTTAAGTTCTATGACGATATCTGTGGTTTATTTATATTCTTGGCAGCAAAAATTATTAAAGGAGATGTTATTACAAAAGGTTTTGAATTTATATATGACAATATTTATAATGATTCTGTTTACCTTACACCTAATAATTGTGATTATGACATTGGTTATAATCAAACAATACTTAATATAAAATATAAATATGTATAAATACGTGGTCGTGGCCAGCTGGTACGTGGTCGCGGAGAGCTGATGAGTGGCGGATATTATGGTGAACACTCGTCCACACCGTCCACGACAGTTTATACAAACGCTCTAGACGCGTTAGGGCACACCCTAACATCTATCGTATCAGTCGGTTAGTTTCAACATTAAAATATTTTAAAACTTAATTGTATAAGTAATAACATTTAGCTACAAAATAAAAATGTTATATTATTATTACAATATAGTACAAATGGTCACACAAAGTACAAGCCCACAACCCACGCCTGGATCATCGTGGAGTAACGCAAATTATACGCGTGGACGGGCACGTGGACGGCCAACAACTATGTGCCATATTTGCAGGGCATTTGGCCTTACACGGCAGTACTGCCCTAACAAGTGTAAGTACCTAGACAAATGATTTAATATTATTATTTATTTTACATTATGTAAACTTCAATGAACCATTCGTAATCCGCAATGATAATATAATAGTTTACGCTACCTACGCATGATGCACCCAGGGTTGTTATGTTGAAAACACGTTTAAATATAAAAAAAACCTTATTGATTTTGTTTTAAACGATTAAAATACATATTTTAAGTATCAGTATGTTTAATACATTTTTGTTGAAATAGCGTTAAAACAGCGTTTCAAACGTTTTTTAACATGTTTAAAAATTGTCTTTTTTGGTTTAAAAAGCCGCTTACTTAACCATACTGAATTTAAGATCTAGCCACCCCCCCCACCACCAAAAAAAAAAAATTGTCGACGTTTATGATATATATATCATAGGTCAATGTGTTGTACGTTTCGAAAAATGAAGCTGTATCAATTAGGGTGCTAAACGAATTATTATCTCTATTTTACACGTCCTAAATTGATGTTCCGCGTATTTTCTAATACACTTTTGTGGTTTTTGATATGTATTGGAAATACACAATGTATTTCTGTATTTCATAATTAACTTTGATTTTATGTACCTACTTACAGTTTATTCTAATTTATATTGTGTAGTAACTAGTTATGAAACCTTACCTATTAACTTTACATACTATTTTATTCTATGCACCACTGCAGTTTTCCAATATTATGGCAGAAACACATTTTTTTTAAATCAATAAACGAAAAACAAACAACTTCGTAATAAAATAAAATATGATATCAATAAACATAATTTATTAATAACAATTAATAAGCAATGAATGTATAATTTGTAATATAAAATAATAATTATGAATATAACAAATAGCATTAAGGACGTCTCACCAAAAGTTTACGCGTGCAACGACCGAGAGGATGCGCAGTTAAGTGTTTTCACGATCCGCAAGCGCGCGGCGTTTAATTTAAGCCTACTATTCGCAATTCCCAACCGGGCAACAGCGGATACGTGTGCTCGTAGGGGAGCGCTATTTATTTGTCTATGATCGTTCGTTCAGTATGATTCGTATCATTATAAAATTCATTATACGCAAATGTCGCCGTAATATTTTCAATACCCTATGAACCACCGATTATAAATTATGGTACTGTTTACCTAAATTTATGCCCCAATATATAGATCGTACAAACTTAACATAACATAGCTTGATTTATAGTTATTGAATTATTACTTATTTAATTATAATACTTATAGTAAAATCTAATAATAATTGGTAAATAACATAAATACTTAGGTATCTTAGGTATGAAACGAAAAACTATTTTTATTTATATTATTATAGTATATTATAAATTTAATTACTACCAAATTTAATACTATAAAATATGTATGTTAATTTTTATAGAGTTCAGATTATGCACGATGTGATAACTAATAGGTACGTAGTTTATTCTTTTTTTTTAATTTTCCAATTTCTTTTTTTTTGGGCTTTTATAATGAAATCTGGTTCAACAATATCACTTTTTAATAATCTTTTTCCATACTGCGGGTCTATGATTTTTGGCAAAATGTATTCGCAGTAAAATCTATATTATAAAAAATAATTATTTATAGATGCTTTATCTATTAATGTTATACTTAGGTAGTTTACTAATTTATATTTAATATTTATTACTTTTTTAATTTAGGTTCCATTTTTTCCTTCCAAAAATTGAAATCGTATTTTATTTTCTCAATCTGAATCCACTGTTTTGTGAATACTACAAAATAACAATATTGTTTTTTCGTTACATGCAATTGACCGATAGTTTGGTAAAAATAATTATAATTTTTTTTTAAAAGTATTTGCCCATTGTCATCTTGAGTTAAATAAGTGATCTATAAAAGATCATATTTTTTTATTAAAATATACTGTCAAAAATGTATATTATAATTTATAACACATATATTATATATAATATATTTAAAAAATAGAATTTGTATTATGTTTTGTATTATATTATTTACCTTACCAGTATGAATAGCTTCTTGAACAGTGGCACAATCTTTAGCAGAATAAGGCGATTTAATTTCTAAAAGTGTATTATCATCTATAATTCCATCTGAAATAAATTACATTTTGAAATAAAAATATTATAAATAAAATAAAATGTATATACCTGGCGATGCTCCTAGATATGGTAATGTATTGTCTATAAACAACCCACATTTATTTACTTTAAAATTTGTCTCGTTTTCAAATTTTTCAATACCCAACTTCTCCATACTTTTTCCATAACTACATTGTACTGGCTCGTCTGGCTCTTTACCAAGAGTAGATGAATTATAAAATAATTCATAAACTGTGTTTCTACATGATGTTGTGGGTCTCATTTTAATAATTTTTCCAAAATTAGATGCGGTTAGTCTATTTCGCCTTTCAGAATACCACTTTTGACTACTACTTTGATCATGTGTCTCTAACTCTAGTTGTTCACATTGTTTTTGTGTCAACGTCAAATTTTGAATAAATTGTTATTTTTTTTTTATCATGAGTTCAGTGGTCATCCTTTCTTCTGCTAGGCCATAAAATTCATCTGAACCTGTAAGTTTCGTTTTGTTCTCACGCCGCGTTGGAAAATAATGGAAATTGAAGTCTCCTTCTAACGGAGTATACATTTTTTTTTACTTTTCATAGCCAAACATTTTTTTCCTACCATGCCTATAATATAATATAATATTTAATTAAAAATAATGTAAATAATATAACAAATTTGATTATTTATTTTATTTTTTTGACATATTTGGCAAAACAATTTTAAATCATTACTTGGACTTTTTTTCATAATATTTTTGTGAAAAAATTTTTTTTATTATTCTTAAAAAATAACCTCCTGAATTAAAAGAAATGATTGCATCTCGTCTCTCGTACTGTACGACTGTTTTAATGAAAAATTAATTTTTTTTTCCTCCAATATATTTATTCACGACACTTTTAAACTGCTCGCACACGTTATTGGTAACATTAACATTTCTGTCATTAGACCACTTTTTTCTGCTTCTAGAACACGATTTTCTTCATTATTTTTTCTTTTACAGAAATAAGCTGCACATTTGTTATGCTGTCCCAAAATGTGATAAAGACTGTTCAGTATGTCTTCTTTGAGTTCTATTTTTATATTAAAACAAAACAAAAATTATTACTATAGGTATTCCAATATACTAAATATATAAAAAAAAAAGTTTATATTAGCAGCTACCTTTAATTTTTTGTGATTCCATTTCTAATAATTCTTTACGATATCTTATTGCCATCCTAATGGCCATACTGAATTTCTTTATATTTTCGGATATAAATGTTCTTAATATTACAGGATATTCATAATTTTTAGTAATTTGCATTATTTTAGTGCTGCAGTTCCGTAGAAAGTGATTTCGACATTAAATTTTTTTTACAAGTCTGTGAGGTCCATACGGTACTATTTCATTTAGGCGCTTGATTACGCTGCTATCACCATCTCCTGTAGTTTTAAATAATATTTTATGCCTTGTGATATTAACTATTTATATTTAAAGAAAATTAATAAGTAATACCAATTAATCTGTTGTATTTTAATCCATGCATTTCGAGACTTTTGGTAAACCCTTCCGCTATACCGTCTGATTCCATCGCAGTCACACTTTTACGCCAGTTTAAAAAACAATTGTGCTCTTTAGCCTTTATTTTCAAAGTGTTTGATCTTTCACACATACAGCAGTTACGATTTCTTATCCCCACGAATAAAGTTTTATTTGTGCGAAACCCTATAATCGTTGCCTTTAAAACAGATATTTTGAGTCACATTATGAAGTTAAAAAAATATGATGTCATTAACAAAGTAGATAGAAATTACTTTTAAAATGTTTAACTTATTTTATAATTGATTATTTTAGCTTACTGCTCCCGATAACGCATCGTATTTTGTTTTATAACTGCGTTTTCCCCATTGACCATCTGTAACTACTGGACTCATAGGAATGCCATCCAAGTCAATATCTCCAGCTTCTATTGCTAGTCGCTTTTCTTCAATACCAGCAAGTTTCATTTGTTCCCAAGCAGACTCTTCAATAACTCTGTTGATGTTGGAGAAATGCGCCTCATATGTATTACTACAAAATGCAGGAATATCCAAAATAGCAGAAAATTCTTTTAACTGTGAATACCCTATTCCAACTCCAATGCTTGCATTAGTAGCCGCTTGATTTATGGGTATGTAATCACAATTTTTTTTGGAATTTATTTTAATTTTGATAGAACACATTTTGCATTTAAAAATCCACATTGAAGAGTTTCCAGAACGAATTTCTTGTAAATATTCGCAATCAATAAAAGTGCAACCTAAACCTCCACCATGGTTACTACTTCTAATTTGATCAAATATATACATAATATCAGCAATTCTTCGACCTCCGATACTATAAAAGTATAAAAAAAATCAAACAAAGTCGAATATTTAAGCAAAAGAAACTTTTATTACTTATACATGAAGCATAGGTACCCTACATGGTTAATAAAGGGTACCTACGTACTATATTATATTATATCTATGATATTTACAGATAAAAATAGGTATAGATAAATAAAACGTAGGTACTTATTACTTGAGGAGTTATTATTAATACGGATAAGTTGATAATAATTAAACTTATTACATTTTATGCCTTATTTCATGTGTTTTTCATTGAAGCTGTGTATAATAAACATTCTATTGCATACAGTAGGTACTACACTTCAATTTAATAAATACCTAGCTAATAACTCAATTACCTTCAATATACGTACGTTGGACCATATAGTATGTACTTCTGCAGAGAGCTCTATAGGTGGTCTACATTAGTGGTCATACTATTGATACATTTTTATTATAGGTATTACATTGACGATTATTACAATATTTGATGCATGTGTCATTTCTACCAGTGTGTCCAGTGTTATTTTACTCACTGTTTATTAGGTGTTTATGGTAGTTGTATACTTTTACCAATACCTTTGATTTTTTTTTAGTTTTGAATATTAGCTATATTATATAGTTTGTATTTAATGTGTTGCTTAGGTATATATTAATATCGTTTTTTATAGATTATAATTTACATTTCATGTGTAGTTTCCGCAGTACAAAATGTAAATTGAAATTATATACTGTTCTCGCCTTGATCACCTAATATACTAATTCCAACTCTGTTAAATTATTTAAATTGTAAACTTATATTAATTAATATTAATATTTAGCTACTCAAGCCGTTTTTGTTTTATGTGTGCTACTACAAAATTTATATCATAATATATCAGTCAAATTTATACACCATTCAACGGTTGTAGGGATTCTTCGTTATGTGTTCACTAACAGTTAAACTAAAGAACTGTAAGAAGTCTTCATATAATTTCCTAAGATTAGTTCTTAGTAGGTATGCATAAACTTTTCAAAATCAGTTCAACAAAAATTTAAATCATTAAACATTGTAATATATTACTACATTGCAATGCAATGCTAAGCATCCACAGAACAAAAAATAAATTTAATTCACTTGAAATATATAATATAATAATAATACCTGCAATCACAACACCAAACGGTATCATTTCATAATGAGTCAGTCAATATATTGTTGGTAATCTTTTCAATATTTCCCTATATCCGAGTAGCATTTATATCGTTCAGTGTCGGTTTCTTTAAACAGTGCATTTTTGACGGTTCAAACACGGTTTGGAAACTGTGTTTTTGTGCAATTTTTAAACTCAAAATTTAATTATTGTTCATAGTCAGTTTTACCGACGCTGAATGGTGCTGTGAAAGTGAAAATACACTGATAGAAATTATATGGTTCAGTGAACGTGTTTTGACACCATCGGTTAGTTCACTGAATGTTTGTAAAAACGGTGTAAATACGGTTATTTAAAACTTAATATACACGGTTCAGAGTAGGTGTTTCCGACATTGAACGGTGCTGTGAAAGTACAAATGCTCCGATGGAAATTAAACGGTTCAGTGAACGTGTTTTGACACCATCGGATAATTCACTGAATGTTTGTGAAAACGGTGTAAACACGGTTATTTAAAACCTAAAATACACGGTTCAGAGTCGGTGTTTCTGACCACGGTTTAAGATAGACTGGTTGCGCGTCGAATGAAAAAAAAGTGGCAAGAGAAAGAGCTTACAAAAACTTACTGGCACATAACGCGATCTAGCGGTTATGAATCATTTATATATATATTTGGTGATTGGCTGATGATTTGAATTGTATGTATACATATAATATATATATTATAGCAGTTGTAGGAGGTCACGAAACCATTTCCTTTTTAGCCTGCGCCTTGGATTTCCTGAGAGAGGAGTGGTTTTTAATAAGAGGATTTTGGTGGGATAGGAGTCGCTTACGGAAGCACGAGTAAAAGAATTTGGCTTCTTCGTTGATGGTTTTCATTTGAAAATCATTATGTAATGTTGGGTTTGAGACGTACAGTGGTGCATTGGAGAGTCGTCGAAGAGCTAGGTTTTGGAATACTTGTATTTTATTGGTATTGGATTTTTTTGCTGAACCCCAGAACTGTATGCCATAAGTCCAAATAGGTTTCAGGAGGGTTTTGTAAATTAGAAGTTTAACTTTTTGATTGGTATTATTATTTCTTGATATTAGAGGATTAATTAATTAAATATATTTTTAAGATTTCAGTATTTCACAAGTATTATTATTATTATAAATTCTTAATCACTTACTTATCCAACTAATTTAAATTGCATATGTCATGTTTATTCTTTTTGTGTTAGTTGTAATTTACTATTTAAGTATCTAATTAAAATAATATAATATATTATAACAAATTTATTTGCTTGATTTATTTTAAAAAGATTTCCTATAAAAATGTGTTGTAAATATGTACCTAGTTAGTATATAATAAAATTAAACAACGTTAATATTGTAGTTCGTAGAATAGTAAATGGTTGACAATGTGCAAAGACCTAAAGTGGAACAGACACTCAGTGAATAATATTGAGGTTTGAGATACCTAGAGAGATTAAAAATAAGTTAACAATAGTCATAATTAAAATCATTGCAAAATAAAATTACTGTTTTAGCACGATTTAGTAAAACTTATAGGTGTCAACGCTAGATGGCACTTACTGTCAGTCAGTTTATGTTAGTACATTGCATAGTCACTTGGTCAGTAAGCTTAACATACGTCGATGCGCAACCAGTCTATCTTAAACCGTGTTTCTGACCCTGAACGGCGCTTATCGTTTGAATACGTAAGCGCAGGTTAGTATGATAATAATATTATACCGGTCGTAGTATAAGTATATATGTTATTATTGTGTTTTATCATTGTTTATGATCATTTTATCATTGTTCAGACCCACGGTTAATATATATTAACCGTGGTTCAGACCACTATTACCATTTACCATAGAACGTTGCTTTGGTAAACCGAATGCTCTCGGTACCTCCGTGAAAACCCGCTTTACCAATTCATAATATTTTGTGTTTTTGTGCGTCTATATTGTGTGTTACTATAGCTGTTTAACTAACGTCGTTGCCCGTTTTGAGTGTTTTTAGCGTTTTCCATGATAAAATAAACAGGTATGTCAGCAACTCTGTGTGGCGCACAAGATGGCGGCCGGTGTGCGCCTATTATCAGTTGTCATATAAAGGTGCGTCCACATTAGAGCAAATTTGTGTGTGCGTTGTATTTAGAATTTGAATTTTGTGGCGTGCGTCAAAAATTAGACTAGTTTGGACAGGTCGACACATGCTCAGCTTGTGCGTTTGCATTCGCGCCGTACAACGCACACGATCCAAACGGCTGTCGGTCTCTTGGTCAAGATCAAAGGAATTTGTGTGTTTGCGGCGCTCAGTTTGGACGTCTTTTTCGTGGTCTATTTTATTACGCACACGCGCAGTGAACAAATCAATAGTTAAAATAAAACTTAACGAATTTGTGCGATTATTTTAATAATTTATTAATATGGAGTGGAGTAAAGACGATTGCTGGATGCTCATACAAGAGTACCAAAAATATAAATTGTTATGGGATGCGAAAGATCCATTTCATTATTCGAAAACAAAAAAGCACGACGCATGGTGTTCTCTTGCTAAACTGTTTAATACAGACCATGAAGAGGTTAGGAAAAAAATGGCAAGTCTGTCGGGATCTTTTCGTAGAGAAAAGGCGAAAGGAAAAAAATCTATGGGAACAGGAAAAGGTAAGTACCTACTTACAAATTTACGTAATCATTAAATAGTAATATTACTATAATAACTAAAAATAACAACTTGGTAACATAACTATATAGTTTGTAACGGTACACATATATTTTATGGTTATAGGCGCTATGGAAGTGTATATTAGCAATTGGTTCGCTTTCAAAAGCATGCTATTTTTAGCAGATAAGGATCAGCCAAGACCAACTTTGAATACAGAAAGTGTATGTATAAATGTTATACTAATAATAGCAAATAATAATAAATAATAAATTAACGTAATAATTTTAATTATAATATTATTATAATAAATGTTATACTAATAATAAAAAACAGTTAATAAGTTAATAATAATAAAAAAATACTCTATGCGTGATTGAACTGCCACGGTACTGCTCCATTTGTAGTAAAATAATCAGAAAAATCTTCTCTGATTTCTTTAGCTAGCTCTGTTGATCTGCGTGGAATATTTTGAATGGGACGTAGTGAAGTAAGATCTCCCGAATGATTTCTCCAACTTCCAGAAACTATATTACCATTTACCTCTTTATCCAACGCTGTAGGAGCCATATAATTATTTTTTGATGTTTCACTATTGTTTAAGAAATTGTGCAAATGTATTACTGCCATAACTATAATTGTTGCTTTGTTTGGTTCTAATAATAGAGGTTTTCTTAACACTCGAAACATAGCGGACATTATCCCAAACACGTTTTCCACTACTCTTCGGGATCGACTAAGGCGATAGTTAAAAATCCTTTGTTTTGACCCAGAAGGATGTAGTCCTGAATATGGCTTCATTATATTTTGTGTTAAAGGGAAAGCCTCATCTCCCAAAATTACATAAGGTAATTTTTTGTTTTTACCCGGTAAAGCGGACCATGATGGTAAATTCAGACAATTTTTTTCGAGTTTTTTGAATAAATCACTATTACGAAAAACTCCTGCATCCGAGATTCTGCCCTGACATCCTACATTAGCATATAATAAATTATACTCGGCATCTACTAAGGCAAACAATACGATGCTGAAGAAAGATTTATAATTATAATATTCACTTCCACTATGAATAGGAGCTTGAAGTACAATGTGTTTTCCGTCCATAGCTCCCAAGCAGTGTGGAAAATTCCAAAGACTTTCAAATTTTTCAGATACTGCTAACCATTCATCCGGATTTGAGGGCAACTGAAAATGTTATAAAAATTGTTACTTATATAATGTATTATGTCGAATTTAAAGCTATTTAAAAGCATCTTCAACCTTCGATTTTTTTAAAAAAAATTTTATAAATTATAATAAAAAATGTTTCCCTCTGTCAAAGTATTTGAAAGTTTACTACATGATTCGAATACCAAACGGCGCAACATTATGATAATAAAATACATTTCCAACAATGTACACGGTATGAAAGGTACCATTACTAATGTTCGTAAAATATTAAAATTGTATTAAAAAAGGTGGGCAAGTGGGTGTAGCTCTGCTGTACAGTAGGCTACAAGTGAGTCACTGTAATGGATAATGTTAAATTTGAATCCAATGATATAATATCATTGTATAAGAAAAACGATTCTGAGCGAAGACGGTCAGTCAGCCTACCTATGATATTACTAAGTATATATTTTGATGGTATTATTGTGAATAAAGTAATTTATATATTATAAACTATTTACGTGGAACCTTGTTTTAAATTTTCAATCCTCAACTATAAAAGTTGAACATTTTATACATTTTTAACTACAAAATAATTTTAAAATTTAAATTTGATAAATTTTGTTAAAATTTTAACCTTAAATGTTTATAAAAATAATTGTGCCTATACTCTGTCCAGCGAGAGAACGCGCCGATTCTGCGCATTTCCCCGCGTCTCCTTGCTATCGAAACCGGTTCCCCTATGGTAGAGTGTTGTGTGGGGGAACCAGTTTTGGTCGGTGCGCGGCGCGTTCTCTCGCTGGACAGAGTATATGTATTTTTAATATTTTTCAACTACTATTGTAACAATATATCAGGAGCCTTGTATTAAATTTTCACGCTTTTTAACCCAACAAACAAAATTTTATTGACAATTGTACAAAAAAAAACTAAAAAAATTGAAAACTGAAAATGTCCGCAAATAGCTCAAAACGATTCAAAATATTTTCAAATTTGTATGGTGTATAGAAAATGAGAATATAAAAATATTATGATATTAGTGATATTACCAAATCATTATTTCGACTACTTATCTTTTACAGACCAAAATAAAAAATTAAAAAAAAATATAAAACACATAAATCATTGTACATTAAATATATAGGTTGCTCCGTTCAGATCTAAAATGATTGTAATAATATTGTTATAAATAATTATAATTTTAGCACACATTTTTAAGTTTTAATTTTTATAGGGTGGTCATGACAGTGATCTTGACAAAACTTTAGAGGTTTTTGACAATAGCAGAGATTCAGAGAAAGATAACGAAGAATTAGTTAATTGTTCAGATGAAAACATACTCCATGATAATTTGTTACAAACGAATACTATAAGTGAAGCTATTATTGAACCAAATTTGACCCAAGACAAAAGTGAATTTGTTGTACCTTCATCTCCTAAGCCTGTCAAACCGAAAACTAAGCGTCTTAAAAAATCACTGATTGAAGAAGATCCTAGAATACAAGAAGCTTTTGATTTTATAAAGGCACCCATACAAAATCCTAGTCCGTCTTTGGTTTATGCGCAATACATCGCAAATAAATTAGACACTTACCAGGGACAGACACGTGCATTAGTAGAACACGCAATACATAATGTATTTTTTGAGGCAGATATGGGTAAAATTGTTATACTATTGTTTTCATATAATTAAGAAATATAATATTTTTTTTAATATATTGTATGCTCAGTAACAAAATTCAAAGGTGAATTATTTTATTATTATTTTTTTTAATTTTAGAAATTAATACTATATTATTTTAAATATATCTTGTATGCTCAATTAAAAAATTCAAGACTGAATTATTATACTATTGTTTTCAAATAATTAAGACATATAATATTTTTTTTAATATATTGTATGCTCAGTTACAAATTCAAAGGTGAATATTATTATACTATTATTTTGTTTTATTTTAAAAATATTATAATATTGTTATGTAATATTTTAATTAATAAAAAAAGTAATTTTATATGATTATGTATTTTACCTTAATGTTATCTTGAAGTCCTTCAATAAGTGCTTCACAAACTTCTGGAATAATAAGTGATATTATTTGTTTGGACATCCCAAAAAGGTACTGCAAACTTGTGTACGAATCACCGGTAGCAAGAAAGCGTAAAGTAACCGCTAATCGTTCTTTGACTGGAATTGCTTTCCGAAAACGTGTATCACTTTTTTGTATTTTTGGCCCAACCATATTTATTAAAGTCTCAAAATCTTGTGAAGACATCCGAAGAAAATTTTTGAATTGTCCAGTGCTTTCGTCGAATTTTAAAGTGGATAACAAACTTGAGCCATTGTTATGTAATTTATTTTGGTATAACTTTGTTATCCACCAACGTCTTTGCCGATGTTTTGTTTTTGTTTTTGTTTTTTTATTTAATATTTGGTGAATGACTATAAATGCTGCGGCTTTTTTTTTCTGATTTCAATTTCATTCATAATGAGTGATGACTAATATGAACCTATTATTACTAATAAATAATAAATAATAAAATAAAATAACTAAAATTGTGGATACACACTACACAGTTGTTAACACTGTTAACTACTACAGAATATACAGCCACAAAGTCTGAGCATGAAAATACAACGTACAACGCACAATATACAAATTAAACATAATCCCAATTTTCGGCGTACGTGCGCCAGTCGAGATTAAAATTCAACGCACACACAAATTTGCTCTAATGTGGACGCACCTTTAAAACATGATAAAATAATGTTATTTTATCATGTTATAAAATATTATAAAATAATATTAGATTCTGAGCAGATATTGATATTTTTATTTGTGTTTGGATTTTACTTCTTTACCGTTGACTTATCCTTGTATTTTACTTAGAAAATCATTATTGCTGTTTGACGTTGCATATTGGATTAGTTGCAATAGGTAGGTACATAGGTATGCTAAGAAAGAATACATTTAATATTTACATTTTTAACTTATAAACTTCATTTTTTTTTGTTTATTAAATTTTTTTTGTGTTATATTAGTATGTAATATTTGGTTGTTTATTTTATTCATCCGAATAAAAGTTCTAGTACGAACCAAGCATTGTAACACTTCCAGCGGCAAATTTGGACATTTTATTTCTAGTTTTTTTGACAGTTGTTTTATTATGTTTGGCCTGTTGCTTAGAGCATCACCATGAAGCTCTATAAACATTGGCTCCAAAACATGTGCAGCATTTACGAGTGGCTTTGATGGTATTGTAAGATTTCCTTTTGAAAGATGTTTAATCCATGAAATATGTTTCTCTGAATTAACATCTTCATCTTTCAGGTAAGGATATTTAAAAAAATAAAACGATGTGCTATATACCCAGCCACATATTCCACACATTCGGTTTCAACTTCTCCAAATGATTTTTCATTTTCCATCTAAAGAATAAATGTTATTGTTGTAAATTACAATAAAATCATTATTATACATTTTTGAACTTGATTGAAGTTGAATTAGTAAATTGTCTAATTTAGCAAGGAATTTATTTAGTTTGGTAAATAAATACAATTTACATATTAATTTGTCTACCTCATGCTTTGTTATTTGTTCCATTTAATTTTACACTATTCAGAATTCCTGGCTCAACTGAGAAATTACCTGCCCATGTTCTAAGTGTTGATAATCCTACAAAATGTAATTTAATTGTTATTATTATTATTATTATTTTTTTTTTATTGAATTATTATTACCCGGTAATGGAAATTTTTTTTTATCTCGTAAATATCGATATGCTTTTGTTGAAATACTTCTTAAAGATATTGCTGAAGAAATATCTTCTGGAGTCCATCTAAAAACTTTGTGTTTGGGTCGTAAAAGCAACTCTATTTGTGTTGGTGAAAATAAATGTGATAAACGCTCAGTAAACCATGATTCAAAATCCAGTGGAACTTTATTCAATTGGTCTTTTAATGAAAGTATTTCTTTTTGTTGAAAACTTATTATATTTTTCAGTCTATTATGATAAAATATGAAATTATATAAATCATATTGTATAGAACATAAAAAATATTTACAAAAATATATATTATACAACATATAAAGCATTTGGAAAGAAGGTAATTTTTCAAGTTTCTCAAATTCCAAAAAATTACAATCTAAAAACTTTTTTTCTTTATACTTGTCACATTCTTCTTTCAGTCTAATCATTTTAGGAATACTTTTCATGGTATTACTATTTACGGAGTAGAACATAAATTAATAATTAAAGTAATAAAATACTTAATTAAATAATTAAAACACTATATTATCAATATATTTTTTAATAATGAAAACATTACATATAATACTAACATATAATAGAAAACATGCATTTTATTAATACAAACATTAGAAAAATATGGTAAGCTAAATAGCATGCATACATTTTTTTAGATCAATGAAAGAGGAATAATAACTTGGACCGTTTAAGTAGCGCACGCAGATTTTCAGCTGTAAATTTTATCGTTGCAACAATTATATCTGGTTCATTAATCTTAATGTAATTACAATATTTTCATAACAAATATTTATTATATCACATTATATTTTTATTATTTTAATATTTATAAGACTAACACATACATAACAATTTACATAAAAAGTAGTATAGTTAAAATACAAGCATACATAAAAAAAAAAATCAACAATTATTGGGATATTATATAATAATAATATTATAATATAATATAGAGAATTCAATATATATAAACAAAATAAGGAATAAGAAAAATGTATAATTTAGTAAAACATCTCAATAAATTAAATTTGTATAGTTTATAATCTTTGAATAAACATTTTATAATTACTATAAATAAATAAGTTCTTAATAATTTTTTTGAATTAAAATCAAATGATCGCTTAATGTCAAAAACATGTTCTTGATTGAAAAGGCTATTTAAAAAAAGCTATCCTAAACAAATCAAGAACAAGTTTTTTTCATTTTAAATTCTAATTTGTTGAATTTCTTCTTTGAATCTCTTGTGACAACTAACTAAAAAACAAGTATATACATGCAGAAATAATGTGATAGAGTTTAGAAGATCATAATTAAACATACCTGTAATATATATATATATATATATATATAATTGTTTGAATATCACAAAAATATATTTTTGTTATTGAGTTAAGTTCAATAAAACATAGACAAAAATACACAAGCAACAAAGTAGTTGATGTATGTAAATATGATTATATGAATAAACAATAAAACAATTAAAATGCTAGAAATTAACTTGCATCTTACAGCAATATTTAAAAGTATTACTTTTCAACTTCAGTTTTAGATGTTTCATCAATACTCTTTTCAGTTTTAGAAGTCTTATCAAAACTATGAACTCCTAAATCTTCATGATCTGCTGGCATACCACAATCAAATAACCTGGTTCGACATTTCACAGGCCGGCTAGAAACACTATATAATATGTAATCATAAAACATGTTAATAATAAATATTATGTAATATATAGGTAGGTGCTAATTATGTGATTTTTGTGAATACCTAGGTGAAGATACTGAAGAATCTTTTAAAACCGGACTATTCAAAAATCCAGAAGTTGATTGGATTAAATCATTGCATGACTCTCTAATATTTGAAAAACATCAGCTATTACCTTTACTTTTTTTTATAAAATAGTATTTTTATTTAAATGATCTTACACATAAAATCTTCCTGATGGTGTGCATATAACTTCAACATTAGTGGAATTATCTTTTGAGTGGGGAGTCAATGGAATAGCATCTTCTCTTAGCTTACGTTTACCAGTGCATGAATCATCATACTGATATGCAGGGAAATGTAGAGAGCAAATAACAGCTACAAATTATTGTTTAACGAACAAATCTTTGTATAATATATAATTAAATAAATATAAGAAATTTTATATCAAACCTGAATCGAAACTGATTTTTTTTCCGAGCCTGAAAGAGCTTGTTGAGCCATAACTTCCTAAAAAAAAGGGTCTTTCGGAAATCGATGAAGTGTAATGGGTGGTTCAACAGTATTCCACTTGATCTTTTTACTTCCACTAAGGCAATTTGTAAAGCTGCAAACCGGCATGTTTGTATTATATTATTCACAAGTCAATTAGTAAACAGACAACAATGAACAAAACACTTGAGTTAAATAAAACAAAAAGATAATATAACTCCATATAAGTAATAAGTATGTGATGGTAATACGGTATCAACACAGTATCATGTAATATTTTCATAATATAAAATATTGGCGCCAAAATGTATACGACCAATGAAATAACGAGAACTACAGTAGGCGTGGTGCGCTAGAATTGACGAGAACACGTATCGATGTCATCATACCTGTTTATTTTATCATGGCGTTTTCGTTATTTTATTCTTATCCCGCTAGCGCGTCCTGCCGTATTGTTTTCTGCACACGTCGAACGCTATTAATATTAAACTATATTAAATACTACCGGTCAACGCGGATATTCGACGGCATAAGTATAATAGCTGCAAAATGTAAGTATACGGCATGTGCCATGTGTACATTAAATGTATTGTTAATTACACCAATTATAATATTATAGTATTAACCTAGACCTTTGATTTAATAATCAATGCGTATACCTATACTATTAGAGACTAAACTATTAGTACATAGTGAAACATAATATTAGTACTCACATACCTAACATTTTTAAACAACGCACACATGTGCATCAGCTGCTTAGGTATCTAAATTAGACCATATATTTAACCAGATATGATGGTGTTCACATTGTTTTTCTTTTTAACTTATAATGTTGATTTTATGGTATTACATATAGAAAACATTTAATTTGTTTATTTAAAATACTATTAGCCGTTGCTGATATTGTCAACACTCAGAATGTAAGATGGGTGATTCAAATAAATATTACTACTCTTTGATGTGATAGTATCGTTTATTAATTAACTTCAAATATAACTTTATATTAATGCACAATAATGCACAGAACTGTGTATTTTAACCTATTCAGGGAATTGACAAATTATGTCTTTTTTCACGACGACCTGTAATTTATTTTGTTGTGTGAGGCTTATAACATGTTGGCCTAGGTATAACAATACATTTCTATTTAATAATATGCTCTAAATTCTAGATACTTTATACAGTTTTGTTCAACCATTTTTAGTCTTTTGTAATTTTTTTTTTATTAGGTCTAAAGCTACTCGTTATAGACAAAGAAAAAGAGCAGCTCTTGAAGCTTCTTATTTATTTCCATCAAGTAGCGATAATAGTG